AAAGAAATCTATGTTATAACAATTATAAAATAACAAAAAAAAAAACGAGAAAGGCCTCACCTAAAACCAAAAAAAAAAAAAAAAAAAAAAATATAATTGGCTATTTAAATTATATTGGTAGATTTTTGGAATTTATTATTAAAAATTCTAATAATATTTAACTGTGAATAACTTCTGATCCATTGGTCCATTTTTAATGAAACAATTACCAAAATGTTCGTCTCGATGAGACGATTCTAATGGATCCAAAATTGTCAAAATTCAATCACAGAATCCCGATATCGTTAATAATTTGTTCACTTCAGATATTTTAGTATTGGTTTAACCAATCCTAAAACACCTGAAGTGATGCAAATCTCTATCGACCTCAGGATTCTGTAATTGGATTTTGACAATTTTGGGTCCATTAGAATCATCTCATCAAGACGAACATTTTGGTAATTGTTTCATCAAAAATGGACCGGTGGATCAAAAGTTACTCACAGTTAAATATTATTGGAATTTTTAATAATAAATTCCAAAAATCTGCCGATATGTCAAGTTAATTTTACATTATTTATACAGTTTAAAGTATTTTTTAAAAAAAATAAAACTATAAAAAATAAACAAAAAAAAATATATAGAAAGTTTTATTAGAGTTGTAGAACTTTAGTATTAAAAATAATCAAAATCATTTTAGATTATTACTATGCTAACTTCTCTAAAACCAGAAATGATTTTGATTATTTTTAATACTAAAGTTCTACAACTCTAATAAAACTTTTTATATATATATTTTTTTAGTTATTATTCGTAGTTGTATTTTTTTTAAAAAGTACTTTAAACTGTATAAATAATATAAAATTAAATTGATTTAAACAGCTAATTATGAAAAATGGATTTGGTAACTATTGTCGTAGCTGGAAAAACTCAAGACTCTGTAATTGTAGTTGTACCAATTTATCAGAACTGAAAGATCTCGGGCATTTGTATAATATATGAGTTATACAAATAGATCTTTAGATTACAGAAAACTACAGGGCCGATATAGTGATAAGGTACTTACTTGGCAAGTCCCAAATAGAGAAGTAGCACTAATCTTTGACAGTACTATATAAAGAATTATCATCAGAAGAACTAGCAAAACTGAATAGAACTGAAGTGTTTGGCAAAACATTCTACTAACCAGGCTGCCGAAGAAGTAACCAAAGAAAAAGAACCTAACCATAGGGACCAAGGCAGGTCACAGCTCTTTTAGGCCATCTGAATTGGTAGTTTGGAATAGTCAGAATATTATAGACGATCTGTAATATGTGTATCGGGGTTTGGAGTGAACTTTATAAGGGCAGAAGTACGTTATGTAGTAGCGATCAGGCTATAGTACCCAATATAGAAACTGAAATGCAAGTGCAGGCTTCGGTCTGTGTGAATCAACTGAAGACTAGGTCAGCTAGATTGTGGGTATAGAAGACTCTAGCAGGTTTGTCTCGAGGATAAAGGGCTCTTGGAGGCAAAGAGCTTGCCTTAAAGTCCTAAGTCAGTATCTGAAACTAAAGGCATCCAAATTGGATCTTCGCTCAGTTAACAGTATAATCACATAGATGCAGAGGGTTTAAATAGATAATCCTCTAGTCAGGTTATAGGTATGACATCTAGTGTAGAACTTAGTAATAAGTGAACTACTTAAAATAGGCAACCAAAAGTATACGTATGGCTAGTTGTATCCTCTAAATATGTATAAGGTATGTGAAAATCATATTGTAAAAATTATAACTATAATTGAATAAAGGTACGTGATCGAGAGGTTACCTTAATATCAAAAAAAAAAAAAACAGCCAATTATATAAAAGTTTTTCTATAGTTGCTTATATGCTATTAAAAGTGATTAGCTAAAAATTATACTAGCTGATTGTACTATATAAGTTCTAATATTAGTTATTCTCTAATATTAAACTTTAATTAAAGATTTTTTAATAATAATCTGATTAATTTCAATACTTAAAATCAAACAATTACAATATATAAAATTTAAGCAACAATTCTTTAAAATAAGAATTTAATTAATTTTTACATAATCAGTAATTTGATAAATATAATAATTTTATAATTTTCTTATAATGTGTATTTATCAACTAAATCTTCAACATTATAATCAAATACACTTCTTTTAGTATTGATAATATTATCATCATCTATAAAACTTTCTTTAATAACAAAATCTTCATCGTCTTCAGGTATCTTTCTAATATGTTCTAATATTGGTTTACTTGTTAAATTAATTTTTTTTTCAATCCAAAGTTTTTTAATTAAAACATTAATATTATCATCTGAAATAGTTTCACCAAAAGTAGTTTGGTATTGATTATTAGCACAGGTTTTTTTCGTAGTTTTACCAGCTGCCCTTGTGTCGAAAATACGTTAGGAGTATGTCGAATGTAACTCGGATTTATATGAGGAGAACATCTTTCTGCGTTGTGAATACAAAGTAAAATTTCCAATTATATAATATAATTGGAAATTTTACTTTGTATTCGCAACGCAGGAAGATGCTCTCCTC